ATTTTTTTTTAAATTTCCTCAAAAAAAAAAATGGATGGCAACTCCCCTGTGTTAAAAATAATGCTGGGGGGGGGGGTCTTCTTTGTGTTTTCTTTGCTTAATTATGTTATTCAAAGCAGATCTAAAATGTAAGCTGATTTTCAAAAAGGAGATGAGAATCTATGCTGATAACCATTTTCACACACACCTGTATACATAACATGGGCCTTAGAATTTCCCTTAGTGACTCAAGCCAATTACTTTGGGTTGTGTTTTGAGTATCACTTAAACTACCTTAATTTAAAGGCTTCAATTTATGGTAAAGGATGGTAAATTGTTCCAACAGTTTACTACTTTTACTGTTCACTATTGCCGTCATAATTTTTAAGTTTCAACTGTGTTTAGCTTTAACTTCCGGTCATTGTATCTCTCGTCTGTACATAACAGCCCTCCTAGCAACATTTTTCTTCTAATGTATGTGTTTGAAGATTACATGATCCATGTTTCTAATATATGTTATGTGTAGATAGGTCCAATAAGAATCAAGGTATGAAGCCTTTAAAAAAAAATCCATACATATACCATTTATCAGATAACAGATAGCAAAATTCTTGGTAAAAGGTAAGTGAACATTATGGCCTGCATTGTAAAGATGAGGATAATTTAATCATGGCCATGAATCAAACAAATGAAAAAGCAGGGAAAAATAAGCATGGGTCTTTACCTACAACACTGTGTATATGCACCCACATGTGCTTAACTGCTCAGTACATTAATTTGCTGCGGTGTAAAGCAACACAGTCTGCACGCATGACACGTAGACTGCAGCAAACTAATTTCTGCTGCCGTACAACAGTATTGTCCCCAACAGTACTATCTTAAAGCAGTGAAAATAACTGCACCTAAACGTACGTGTAAATGCTGACCCAGGCATAAATTGTGCCTGGTCAGTCCGGGCAGCAGGGGCCAGACCCCTGCCTGCTGCCTAGCCACGCGGCTCTGCTCTTTGGGCACTCTTGTGCCCCAGCCAGCCACTCTGCCATCTGATACTGTGACCTGAAGCCCAGGGTAGACCCCTCCTTTTCCCCTCTCAAAAAACCTGCTGGACCCTGGCTCAAACTGCTGCAGTCCTGGGCACATACGTAGACACTGCACTCCGGATCCTTTAACTGTAGTTCAAACTGCGCCAGAGTTTATGGTGCCACACTAATTGAATGTGCGGATGCACCCTGTACAATTCTGTAGTAGTCAAAGACTGAGACAGAGCAATGCCCTCCTTTTTCTTAATCCCTGCCCTGGGAAGGAAGCAAACAGCTCTGATTTAAGCATGTCATCATTTACTCCTGACTGCAAGGACTATGACTGGCAAGTGCCAACAGTAACACTAGCCTCTCCAAAAAGTTTGGTGGGAAGGGCACTGCCATGAACTTGCTATACCATTATGAGATTGCCTGCATCTTGAAGAATTTGGTACTGGTCAATCACAATCAGAAAACGGACTGGACCAAACTAACCAATGGTGATTATTATTATTATTAATATTATTACTGAACACTAATATTATTATGATGTTCTCACACATCCCTTGCATCATATAGAAGGGCAAACTCCTATGTTAGGGAGAAAGGAGAAAGCACACTCATATCCTTGTAACAGATGTTACATAGCTGCAGGGCTCAACAGGTCCTAGGCAAAAGTCTAATGTACAAATCTCACTTATCTTCCACTCCTGTGCTATACTTCTCTTTTGTCCTACCTTAGTCTTCAGTTAAAAGTGTAAGTATCAAGGTATAACTATTTTTGGACAAAGGCACTTCCAAAAGGACTAGAAGTAGAAAGTTGGAACTTGGCAGGGGAAGAGGCTTCGCTGAGAAGCATTGTTTAAGTCAGTGGTTCTCACCCTTCTTAGATTAATACAAGGCACCCCGCTCCATAACTTTTCAGAATTTGGAATCACTCCAGTTAAGAACTACTGCTATACCACCTCAACTTACCTCTGTGATCCCCAACCAATGTGCTGCCAATGCTGACGCAGTTTGGTGAAAGTATCCCACATTCCTTGTGGACAGCCAGATCAAGAAGTGTCTGTGGCAAAAGTGCATCCTTCTGCCTGCATTAGTTTTATCTGGTAAACCTAATGCAGACAGAAGCACCTTCACTTGCCACCACAGCTGCTTTTTAGTTTGACCTCACATGCTCCTCCCACAAAGAAAGCAAGCAGGGCAGTTCCACCTGGCTGTGATTTCCCTGAACAGGTCTTGCAGAAGCCTAGTGGAGAAGTCTATGAGCTCTGGTGAAAGCCTGGTTTCAACTGGTCCAAATTATACGGTTAAGGAAAAAAAGCATTTTGAACTAAAAAAAGAAAAAGAAAAAATCTGAATGCATATATGTGTTACCAGTGTTTTGAAGGGAAAGACTATTGTGCTACATGTGCAATGACTAGCTTAGCTCCACCATGTAGACAGTATGCCTCCTTCAACTACTACACAGTCAAAGTCACCTAGGATTCAGAAAGCGCACACACAATCTTTCATGAGTTTATCTTCCAGGTTGCTCACTAAATTAGACATTGGCAACATAGATCCACGTCTCAAACAGTGGTTATTAACTTGCATCATAAGGTATTCCATGTGACAGACGAGAAGGCCAAGGACATATCCTACTACACTTATTAGGCATTTCCATGGACAGAGGTCTTAAGTGTGATCCTATTCTTTATAGTGCTTCCTCTGCCACCTGTGGCTTGCAGGGCATTTCACAGCAGGCCTGTTCCACTGATGCTGGTAATCAGCTGGCTGTCAGCATCAGTCCCAGACAACCTGGGGTCTGGAACCAGATCCAGGACTCTAGGGCCAGCACCCACAATCACTTGATTGTCAGAACTGGCCCAGACATTCCTAGGTTTCCAACTGGACCCAGGGCTGTCCAGGGCATAAGATTCTTCAGATATTAAACTTAATGGTAGAATTTACCAAGGGCCCTAAGCACTTAACAGGTAAGTGGGATGAGGCACTGAGTTTTAAGTGGTGCATACTAAATGAAAGGGAGATGCTTCTCCTCTCTTTAAGCGCACACAGTATGGGAGTGGGTGCTCTGGGTCTGCCTAGTCAAAGATTCAGATTATGAAGGTACTCTTTTCCCCTTCTATTACAAAACCTAATATAAAAATCTATCAAGAAGATTAAATGAATAAATATTTAACACAATAAGTGACAAACAGATTGAAAACACCTGTCATATTCATACATAATGGATAGGCTGGATTTTAATTCTAAAAAATATCTGTAATTGTATAGAGAGAAAAGTAAAGGTAATCTAATTTGATTTTTTAGATTGTAAACCGATTACTTACAACAATGGTTTTCAACCCATGGTCCGCAGACCCCTGGGGGTTGGCAGGCTTTATCTAAAGGGATCTGTGAGAGATGACTATGATCTTTCAAAAGTATGTGAATGACCACACTTACAATTCAAAGGCGTCTGCACCTCCATTCAAAATTTTTTAGGGGTCTGCAACTGAAAAACGCTGAAAACCACTAGCCTGAAGCAATGAGAAAACATTAACTGATCAATTTAGAGTGTCATCTACAAAAAGACTATTTCAGAAAATTCAAGTGGTCTTTCCATGGATACAATGATCAATATTGGACTCCATAATTTTTTAGCACATAAAACTACCTGGAAAATTTTAAATTAATTCAAGGCTCTAACCACCTTTAAAAATAAGTAAATAAAAAATAGACATTTCTGTGCACCTTGTAAAGTCAAGTTTTTATGTACCTAACATAATTATGCTTACCTGTGGTTTGATCCACAAGTACACGCGAGTTGATGATGCGTCCAAACCGTGAAAACATATCTTCTACATCTTTTTGTGTCATTGACCTCGGAAGTCCACTAATGTACAAGTTAGCATCTTTGATAACTTCAGAACTTGGACGAGCATAAGAAACCTTCAAAATAAATGTTTTTGCAGTATATGGAATTATATGATTAAACAGCACTTGGGTTTTTTTATAAAAGACATCTAAAATGCAAGCAATTTTTCTACAGTATTTTTATAAACGAGAGAAAAAAGCAAGTGAGCAAGAGAGGAAAGATAAGAGATCTTCTTATTTGATGCAAAAAGATGTTACACAATCCCTTCTGGGGATGAGCTAACAATAGCCCAGTACTGATGATATCAATGAACCTTCATGATAAAAGTTTTTATTGGGTACCAGACCTAGTATATGTTATGTCAGTGCCTAGTAAATATCAATAGGTGTATTCAAGCACCAGCTGAAAAACTTAATACATCAATGACAGGTTTAGCACCTAAACTAAGCAAAATTAGCATGTATCCTCCTGCTCATTAGAAAATGAGAACATTACAAACAATCTCATAACATCTGAAAGTCTATCCTTTACAGGAAAATGGTAGAAATTCAAACCAGCTAATATAATATGCACTCCTTTTTCATATTTTAAGGCAGAGCTCATCATCAAGTACCTGAGTTTCACATGAGTTCAATCCAAAAGCCAGGCAACAATTTGGAATAGTCTTACCTACTGTGGACAGACACAGTCATCACATGTGGCATTGGGATAGAACCCATGACCTGCCAGTAATTATGTACCAGGTGTATGAAACTGTCAACTAGACACTACAGTGATGAATGTTCTAAAAACGGAGGGAAGGAGAAAGAGAGAATCTTTGAAAATCAGGCTGTTACAAAGCAGAGGTGTTTGACAGCTCATTCCATTGTACTATTCTTCTATACATGCCCCTTTTCTTAGTTTGAAGCTCTCCACTGCAGCATTCACTGAAGGATAGTAAACAACAAAAAACTAACATTCATTTGAATGAAAATTTTTAAGATTACAGAGTAATAAGAATTTCTAATATAAACTGTTAACAATTTCAGTAAACATGTTTTGCAAAGCAAATGGTACCTGTCTCCTACAAGGGGTGGTGCGAGTAGTATATGTATGGTATGCGAGTAGTACATGTATATAATCTATAAATAAATAAATATACATATATTGGGGGTGCGTGCTCAAAAATTTCTTACTGATGGGGTGCACGATCAAAAAAGTTTGGAGACCACTGATCTAAACAAGTGGCCCAGTTTTCAAGTGTTGAATACTCAGCAGTCCACATTGATTTCACTGTAATCTTGTGCTCTTAAAACTGATTTAAGATCTGATTTTCATAAGTATAATGAAACAGTTAAATGTTAATTACAGGTTTTCAAAATGCACTCATAAAAAGTTTAACTAGTCAGATGATCTTTGCAAATACTTGCCTCTCTTGTTAGGAACTTTCACTTACTCAAGATATTAAGTTACTATTCATTCCTGAGGTTTTAAACTGGCAAGGCACATAGAAGTCTAAAATAAATTGGGGAGAGACAGCTGAGCAGGAGAAGGTTTTACAATTCCAGAATGCCAGAGCTCCGCTTAACTATTCTAAATATATAATGTCACATTTTAAGGTGTAAACTATAAAATCCATGCTTGCTACCTTGATAGTTTTTGACTGAAGTCTCAGGCCATTCAGTGTGTTTATTGCTCTTTCAGCATCTTTTGCAGTCACGTAGTTCACAAAGCCATAGCCTAAGCTGTGTCCTGCATGGAAGAATATTTTACATTAATCCTAATAAAAAGTGATGTGGCTGCTGAAATTAAAGGTGTTCGTTTCTTAGCTGAGATCAAAACAACACACAAATATCTTATGTAAAAACCCCTTAGAGCAGCTATGGTAAAAATGCGCCGTTAAGTTTTTCAGGGCTGACAACTGTGTGGGCAGTCTGATGTGACGCTCCTCCACTTTCCACTTCAGACATTTATCCATTTTTGAGGCTAGTGTACCACAAATAATAAGCAGGGAGCCCCCAGAAAACAAGTCATTCCAGTTTGAAACACTGACTTGGGAATACTAAGCCATCATCATAAAACTACAATCAGCAAACTGTCACACAGAAGTAGTCATGGTATGTGACATTCAGTTTTCACTTTTGATCTTGTAAAACAGAATAGTTAAATAGACAAAAGAACAAAGCATTACATTAAACTCCTAAATATACAGTAGCAAGCAAGATATTTTGGCATATGAAACTAATTGGAGGGGAAAAGAAAAACAAAAGTGTCACAAAATTATCAGTTTTCCTGCAGTTGTTCCAGTAACTCAGTCCTCCATTCCTGGGGACAGAAGTTGAGTTTTTTTCTTTTCTCTTTCATACAACTCCTATGATTTATCTGTCACACTGCATACAAAGTTAAAAATGGGTAAAACCTTTGATCCAGGTAGGTCACGGGCCATCACTTACTTAACCAAACAGTCCTTCTCAGCAGATATATTACTGGATGTTCATATCCAACACTTTTCTTAAGGTATTCTTAAGACTCACAAAACAGCTTGAGGGGAAGAAAAAAAATTTCAACACAGCCTAGACAGTTTGAACAAACTGAACAAGTTGAACAAATGAATCAAACAAAAATTATTTTCCCAATCTCCCCAAATGCCAGTCGCAGGTGGGGGACCAAATGCAAGGACCGCCTGTGAGTGGAACTTATTTGTGGTTAGTAATTTTTAGGGATATTTCTAACTCTTAATAATTTGACAGAAAGAAACTGGCTCCCATTCAGGAACCTACTACTCACTTTTCCCCCCACACCCGACATCAAAGCTTTAGGCTACAAAAGACACACTAAAGATCACATGAAAGATCACACTATTTTACCAGATAGTCTTAAAGCTGTGCCTAAACACAAGGCTCAAAAGTCAGTAAATAAGGTGTGCCCTCTGCCCCCCTGACCCCAGCATCCCTCCCCAACAAAAAAACCATACTAAAAGATGCTCCTCCAACTATAACCATTTCTGTCACCTAGGATGGTTTCAGAGTAATCCTCAGCAGGCAAATGACAAGCCATCCCTACCTTCCTGATATACTCTAGTTAAATTAAGCTCACATCATTTCAAAGGAAGCCTGAATGCACCAGAAAAGTGGAAAACAGTTTTCTATCCCTGTCCGAGGCAGTCTATAGAGAAGAGCAGCAGAAGACACTAAAACCCCCATCCAAAGAAAAAAAAAAAAAAGGAAGTTTCATACACCCACAGTAGGAATTATATCTGTTTGATTAGCAGCAACTAAGGCTGGAGAGAGTCTCCAGAAGTATTACAACTTAGTCACTGTGCAGAATGCTGGAAGAAATGGCGCATGTACAAGATGGGGACTAACTTGGCAGGCAGGGACCCTTACAAGAGCAAAACCTCTAACTGTTCCCAATGAAGCTGTACAAATTTGTCAGTGTCAGACATATTACAAAGAAGATGCAGCACCTCAACATCTTCTCTAAAGCCAAATATTACTAGTATACAAACTCTATATTCTAGAACATCTAAAGGCCAAGACAAAAGTGAGGCACATACTTATTAGGGAGCTCCTTTTTGCAGACAATGCAGACTCACCGCCCATGAAGAAAGCCTACTACAAATACTCATTAAATGCCATTCCCACGCTTACACGGTGTTTGCCCTGACCATCAGCATCGAAGACGACTATGGTCCTAGGAAAGGGTGTTCACCAGTCACCATCTATCAGCCTTGACAACACACCTCTCAAGGCAGTGAAAAAGTTCTGCTACCTTGGATCCACAGTGAGTGACAGCCTATCACTGGATGAAAAGTTAAATATGCGCCCTAGAAAGGCATCTACCACTTTCAGTAAGCTCTCCAAATGAGCCTGGAACAATACAAAACTCACAATCAAAACTAGGCAGCTCGTGTACAAAGCCTGCACCCTTGGTGTCCTTATGTAAAGCGTGAGACATGGTCAACATATGCATACTTGGAAGAGAAGTGGAACAACTTCCACCTACGTTGTCTACAGTGCACCCTTGACATCAAGTGGCAACACAGAATCACCAGCACAGAGGTCATCACCAAAACCAACCCACCAACCATCGTTGCACTACTCAAAACAGTGGCGCCTACAACAGCTTGGCCATCTGTGCAGGATGGAAGATGGGCACATCCCAAAGGACACCCTGTATGGGCAAATTGCAGAAAGGAAGAGAAGAGTAGGATGCCTAAAATTGAGCTTGGAAGGCTTTTGGAATTAAACCAAACCTCTGGGAGGCCTTAGCAGGAGACAGGACAAAGTGGCGCTCCCTTCTCAATCCTGGAGTCCAACATCGCAACAAGTTATGGTCTTCTGAATTACAACAAATGTGACCGAAGGAAACGGCCGTCAGTACAGTGGCCCCTAATGCCATATACACCTGTGACCACTGTGGCAGGACCTGCAAGTCTAACACTGGTCTTTACAGCCACAAGAGGAAATGCACCACCAGTCAGTAGAATAGCTGCAATATCCACCATCACTTGCTGATGAACCGTTGCCATATGCTGTACACTACTATATAGTCCATACCAAGTGCCAAAGACTTATTTAGATGAGTTGTATCTATTTGAAAAGTATTCCAAATAAACTAAATCTATTTCACCTTCCTGCCTATGCATGATTTTGTGTCCTATTCTCTTTGGTACTGAGGAACTGCCTTCAGTGACTAGTGAAACCTGAGGACTTCCAGACGATTCTGCAGGATAATGCTATTAATGACTAACTACACTGTTGATAGCACAGTAGGACCTTATAATGAGAGTTTGCCCTTAGCTACTTATAACGACGGCTCTCTATGTACCCTCTTCCCTGGATTAATCTCAAAAGACAGACCATCTGACACACAAATCTTTGTGCAACTGAAGTAACTGTGGCCAAGATGAAGAACAACAAACATTTCTTTGCTTGCACCCTAGCATCAACAAAACCCATGGATTTGTTCTAGACAGATATAACCTGGTTAGCCCAACTTTGGTTCACGTGATTGCTAACGAGGCCATCTCTGACTGCAAGGAAACATCCTATCTGAAAAGGTGGGACAGAACCTAGAAGGGGATGAACATGATCTTCTCTTTGTTGAAGCTTTGTCTTGCACTACATAGAGTTTCTGGGGTACTAAATGCCACAACTTGTTACTTCGTTCTCTCTCCTAGCTGATATAGACCACTGGAGCCAAGGTAAGAGCACAGATTTCTTTGTAAAGTGGAGTGCATGCCAGCTTCTCCATTTGAGGGGCTCAGGATATTGGGGTAACACTGATTTTGAAATTCACTGTTTCCCTGCTCTTAACTAGCCCAATTTAATTCATTTTTAGGGTGTGCTGGGAAGTAGATGAAGGGCAGGCATTTGGGAAGGGCATAAATGGCCGTGTATATTGTTTATATTAGGGCTGGTAAGAAAAACGGACAACTCATTTGGCTGAAACACTTATAATAACCAAGGTGAAAAATGTAAGATGAGGGGAGAGGACAAGGAGGGGAAAATGTGCTGCTGTCTTAAAATAGACTGATTACCTTACAGAATTGACTTGATGACAAGGATATCATTTGAAACAGCTTGTGAATATATTCAAAACCAGAAGTATACTAAAAAATACTCCATAAATGCCAAACTTACATTCACACGCGTTACTATGATTTCTAGCTGTGTGCCATTCAGAGAAAGGGCTCTTGATAAAATAAAGTGATTTCCCTTTTTTAAGACCAGCTCCACAACAGACATGCTGTCCATCTACCTGCTTCTTTCCCCTGTTCCACCTTGGGTGCAAGGCCTGAGTTGCTAGATCCTGTTTCCCATCTATGTTCCTCTCCTGTTACTAGTCAAGGAGGGAAGGGGGGAAAACCTGTGCCATTCACAACAAAAGAAACAGTCCTGAAATGACGCGTGCCCTGAGTTCACTAGCTGATCAGAGCAAGCTCCAGATGAAGCCCCTGCTTTGCACAGCTCCACAGCCCAGACGATAAATGCCACCGATGCTCTTCCCTTCTTTCCCCCCTGCTGCTGCAGCACTCAAGTAGTCAAGGCACATGCAGAGCTCCAGCTGCACTGCCATACCAGCGAGCTTAGCAGGACACACTGCTCATGTGTGTGCAACTGCACTGCCATGGATTTTGCAAAACTCATTGCTGAGCAAGATATTGCTCCTTTACTGTGGGAGATCAGCATCATCATCCCATTACTTTTACAGACAAGGGAAACTAATGGCAGAGTAACTGCACGTAATCATTTCAGAGCCAGAAATAGACAGCAGGTATCCATGACAGAACTTGAGCGCGCTCCCCCAGACTGTGTCCACTTGAGTCTGCAAACACATTCCACGCCAGAAATAAGTCACTGAGGCTGAGTTTTCTTCCCTCCGCACCTGCTCTCACACCCTCCGCCTCCTCAGGATGAGTATGGTGCAGTCAATAGCAAATTTGAAGGGGGGGCGGAGAAGCAGGGGAGGAAAGGTGCACTCAAGGCTCCTAGTGCTGGGACTTGCCTTGCAACAATATGAGTCCTTAGACCCACCTGGCCCAGGCACAGTCCAATCGTGGCATGCCCCGACATCTCCTGGACACACAGCAGGTCTGGGACGGCTCCATGATAGGACGGCATTTCTAGACAGCCAGGTGGCAGTGGTTCCCTCTAGCTGCCACTAGCCCCAGCCCCGCGGTACAAGCAGGGACCCGCACTGCACAGCCCTGACCCCAAGTGCCCTGTGCCTGCCCAAGGTTCAGCAGC